TGAGATGTCTCATTGCAAAAAAAAAACAGAGTATATTAGATCACAATCTATGGAGTGTGTAGCAGAAGTGCAGAATGCGCGTTTGAACGCCCTAATTAAGTACAACTGTAGTGACGAAAACTTGTTTTCACGGTCATGTGCAGCACTCCGCCTACTGGGATGGGTAAGAAATAGTATTTAGAATACTTGTCTGATTTTTCGCAACCGTTACTCCAACATGGAAGGCGACCTATGTACGTGGAAACAGAACTTGAAAGTTACAGGGTTATCGCATTAGAAATAAGGTAATCTAGAGTGATCTCTGCCCCATCCTCGACCGTGTGAGCGCTGCGTACGGTGCGAAGTGAAGCATAGCCTTTCGGACTGGGTTGATTCAAGGAAACGTCAGGTAAAATCAACTCTAGAATGGTGTAAAGGTCAGGCCACAAATACGCACAAAGCCCTTCGCTCCACACCAGTTCATTTCTGCTGGCCCTACCGTAACGCTCGATTTGAAAGCAGCAAATGCCCAGAATTTTTCTTCAGTCACTTTCGTTACATCCACCCATCACCATGGTTGGACACCTTCCGCGAGATGTTACCGCGGGTTTTCAACGTCTGCTAGTTACCAGAGTACTATGAATTACGTTTCTAAACCAAAACCAATCCAATTCAAAGAGGAGATTGTAAGCTTAAACGAGAATAAAATATTTCAAACATGAAACGTACTTGTGATGAGCGGATTATTCGCATAAGCCACGATGTCGTTAATCCAGCCACGATGTGACTCGGCTGAGTCGCAGCTCAAAGCGATCATTTGCACATTTCTGTCATGAAATTGTTCTGCCAGCTGAGCTGCTCGTGCCAGCTCCGTCGTACAAACGGGGGTGTAGTCTGCCGGATGGGAGAACAAAATGGCCCAACTAAAATTGAGGTTATTCAGATTGGCGATCCACCTCAATCGCTCATGTAACACTTCCTTCGTACGCAACCCTTACCATCTGTCGAGTGCACTCTCTTTCTTTTCCCCAAAATGATTCCAAAAACCCACCTGTTTCCCATCCATTCATGAAAATTCTCAATCTTGCCAAGATTTGTCGTGGCGGAGAAGGCAGGGAACGTCTCTCCGAGCTTCATCTTTCTGCTAAATAAACAGCTGTCAGTTAGAGCGTCTTTGTGATGCCAAAATGCGATGGATCAAAACCATGAAGATTTCTGTAGAACATTCATTGTCTACGAGCATACTTACGAACTGAGTAATGCATTAGTAGGCCAATTAACACATTGACGACAGCGTGATGCGGTTGTGCGTCAGGTTTCCGCATGAGAGGAGTCGTTATTCTTTACTTATTTCGATACTTTTTACGATTCAAAATTACATTTAAACCACCCCTTTCGAACCATTTTTCCGCCGATTCCTGGACAGCGCTGAGTAAAGTTTGCCACTTCAGACTTATTTCCGCTCAGCAAAGGTGTGCAGGGAACACATTAGAGTTGTTCTCCTATAACCATCTTTTTTTTCTGCTCTATAGGCTTTCATCTAATCCTTTTTTTATTAAGCAGCGCCCATCTGAAGCATTCCTCATACCCGAGTGAGTCTCCCTACTTCGACTCAGCTCATGTGCCACCTTTACCCATTTTCACGCGTTTCTAGCTGCTGCTTTGGAATCAAATTTAAAAGTTTCGTCGGCAGTGCAGCTCATTTCGATGCACGCCACACCCACTGTGGGCTGGGTTCCACCACCTGGTGTGTGCTGTAACGCTTAGACATTACCCACCATCCGTCGACATGACACCACTCCCTAACAATTGCGGTCTTCCCCAGGTGATCTTCCAAGTAGGATTGAACTACTACACACGGACAAATAGACTGACAGATGGACAGACGAAAGCATTATAGTAAGTAGGATAATCCCCAGCTGCGTGTTCAGTGCTCCACTAAATGTGAAAGTAGGGGTGGGAAGTGGACCGCCAGTGGAGGAAAAAGAAAAAAAATAGTGAAATACACAGGAAATACGAGCCTTTTGTCCACAGGGAAGTTCACTAGGGGCCGTATGCTGAATGTTGGGTAGGGGACGGGGATGGGTGAACGTTGGGGAGGTTCGTCGCAGGACCCTTCTGGGCAGCTGTCGCACCTTTGATTTTGCAGCTTTGTTTTCACCCTTTTACTGTTTCTGATTGTATATTCGCACGTAAATATCTTTCTTCATACCAAAAGCAGCGATGAAAGAATACAAACAGAGCTGCAATATTGAAGGTGCGACAGCTGCCCAGAAGGGTCCTGCGACGAACCTCCCCAACGTTCACCCATCCCCGTCCCCTACCCAACATTCAGCATACGGCCCAGGGTAATTCAACCTACCTAATCCAGCAGTCCGCCATAAGACCAGCCACTTTGCTGTCAGCAGCGCGTTGCCATGTAGAGTGACGGCCACCTTCATTGAACGGCGCTTGTACTATGCGCGCCTGTCACGCCACCTCTCCTCGGAAGGCGAACTGGAAAACGAGAACGGACCAGGGGCGGTATTCAATCCTTCCCCCAGGGGGATATATCCCCCTCCTCTGATTCAATCCTCTGGGGGGACAAAAAAGGGTTGCGTCATAGGACCTAGCATACCTCTGTGTTTCTACCTGCCAGACAGTTAGAGCAGCGCTACTACCCTCCACTGATGAAGCACTCTTTTCCCTGAGGGGTCGCGCTGCTCTAACTGTCTGGCAGGTAGAAACACAGAGGTATGCTAGGTCCTATGACGCAACCCTTTTTTGTCCCCCCAGAGGATTGAATCAGAGTAGGGGGATATATCCCCCTGGGGGAAGGATTGAATACCGCCCCAGGTGGAAAATCGATGCCCTCTCACATTGCACTCCACTGCAACGCTCGAGAACTGGGATACGGTAAAGGTTTGGTTACCTCCGAGATTTACATTCTTCTCCTTTTGCCCTCGCTGCGGAGATGTTGAAAAGGTCAGCAGGGAGATGAGAGATAATGTGGCCCGGAGAGCGGTAGGGAAGTCCGAGTAGAGAGAGCATAGCAGATCAACGCAGCGACGCAGACAAGATATTCGAACGGTGGGCGGACCATGTTAGGTTTGGTGGAGCTGGTAGAAATTCTTCCGCGCCTGGCGTCTTAGTGACGCTTTTTGGCGTAGGGAAGTAACGCTACCTCCACACTCGCGTACACAGCGCTTCTAGCTACAGTAAAGGCTCATTAAGTGAGTCTGAGCCCGAGCTCTGCCTTTGAGCGCGTGTTGTAGCTACCGACCCATTAAGGGGTCTAAAAGTTGAAAAACGCAGAATGTGGTAGTAAACGTGCCAGAAAGTAAAAGAACAATAAACGTCCACCATAATAACCTGTATGGCACAGAAGAAACAACACAATGTGGCTAGTCTTATGACACAACCCTGTCTCACCGCCCGTAGAATTGGATCAGTGCGGTGACGCGTCCCCTGGGCAAGGAGTGGGACACGGCCCCAGGGTATGACGTCACGAGAATCGAGGAATTGGTGAGCAAGGGGAAGTGTAGCTAATTCAGGGCCCCCACCACTGGCATTGGACCAGGTCACTCCTTCGTGTCGCATCATACGATTTCACTAAATCTAGCCTTACAGCTGTTGTCAGGAAGAGCTTCGCGCCTGATTAGCCCCTCCCTCTCTCTTCTAAAACTACACTTGTGCCCAAGATAATCAGTAAGCAAACAGCCACGACAGAAAAACGGTTGAAAACAGAAAGTACTGTCTCGCATAAGCCTTACAAACAAACATGTTAGCGATTGTGTTTCGGTTAGATTTTGGTGAAAGAGAGAATCCAAAGTGGAATTGCAAGCAATGACAAAGCAGCCAGAGGTATTTCAAAAATCGCGGGCGAAATTGATCCGAAGCTTTTGTACAAATCGAAAGCGGGCCGGCGCCAGATGAAATAGTGCTGCTACATGTCACAACATGCGAACTAAAACATTCCCCACGCGGTGATACCGCCTTCTTACTCTACGCTGTGGGAGATTAGGAGTCTATTCTAACTATACGAAGAGGCAGAAAGATTGCAACAACTACATCCCATCTCGTTCAAGATCCCATCTTTCAGGAAAGATGCCAACTGGGAACAGTCTAAAGCGGATCCGAATACTCCCATACGACACGGGGATTTTCTTCTTCGCAAAGATGACTATGATGGAGACGCAATTGCCTCGAGCGCCAGAAGGCGCGCGACAGCTCTGGGCTTCGCGTCCTGTATACTAAGCCTAGGAGTGGCAGGAACTTTGGGAAGATGAAAATTGCTATGATCCTGGAGTTCCTCCTCCCCTGCCCGAGGCTTAGTCCCGATTTAGCGAAGAGGAAATGCTTACACAGAAAAACGCAGAGATCGCGCGCGGCGACTGGCCCCCTCGAGCCACATTGCGCCGGATTCGAATACTGCGGATTTCACGACCTACCGCACCATGGCGCATGCTGAACGTTGGGTGGATGGGGCCCAACCGCGATGCGAATTTGGGTCCCGGGGGACCCTAGCAGGCGTTGTCGCAGAGCCCACCGGTACGGCCAATCCTTCTGGTTCTGGGGGGGGACTCGGTTTTCGTTTTTTACAGTTGAGATCATCAGATTCAGGGTCTATATCACCTTAAGTCATCGATGGCCACTTTTCCAGAAAGTTAGGGTGACCCGAGCCAGGGGGAGTGTAGCCAGTCCAAGGGGTGGGGGTGAGGGCAGTCACTTGACATGCGTGAAAAGCTGGAATCTTGGTTTGGTTTCACCGAGAAAATGCATAATGATGCCCCTAATCAAATAAGTGGAATAGACCCCCAGAGTCATTCATGTATGGCTGGGCGAAACTCGGGATTCGGGGGAGGGACCGATTCGCGACGCCTCTGTTGTCGGCCTCCACAGCGTTGAGTATTACACACAGGGACAGTACACTCCGTTTCATGCAGCCAGAAATCCACGTGGCACACGTGGCTAAATTCTCGATGAAAAGGTGACGTCACGTGTGCTCAAAGATGTTCTTGATTCGATGCCACGTCAATGCCACGTCAATTTCTGCAATTGCACATTTCTGGTATTTGAAGGCGAGGGATAACTCTTCTCACTGTGTGGCCACCCTGGCAAAATACAGCGCCATCGGTGACTAAGCCTTGGTAGAGCAGACGAAAAGAACGCCGCGCCATCGCGTGCCCCTCATCCCCCTTCGAACCCGAGTTTCGCCAAAAGATAAATCGACATGATAACAAAAATACAGCGATACGTACGTGGACGTCTACAATCTAAACAGTGAGAAGGCGAAAACAAATTTTCAAAACCAAAGGGCGGTCGCTGGCCGGCCTGTCCTGCGACGAAAACCTGCTGGGGTCGCTGACGTCTCACAACATCCAACATCGCACCCCATCCCCTCCCCAACACAGCGTACGGCCCCATATGCCCTTCGAGTGTGGTTCACTAGAACAGAAAGCGACTTTTTCCGCTTTTCGCACGCGAAACATTTTCGCTGCAGGAACCCCAGGTCCACCCATGATCAGCGGTGGACCTGAGGTTCCCGCAGCGAAAAATGTTTCGCGCTGCGAAACGCGAAAAATTCGCTTTCTGTCCTAGTGAAGCCACCCTGGCCCCTCACCCACCTTCGTGGAGGAGACCCGATTCGGAGACTACCGATAAGTGGCAATGAAATGGATACATGTGCATCGATTGGGAGAATACCATCACGATTACGCGAGAGTGAATGACTGGGAGATTAGGGGTGAAGACAGAATAAGTGCTGATTGACTTCTTTGGAGATTATAGGATATTAGCATACTTGGCTGAAAATACATAAATTCTGATCTTCTGGCCGGTTTAATCGAAACTCAAAATTTTAGGTGTTCTTCGATTTCCGAAAACACACAGTATGAACGCGGCTAACACGAGTTTTCTATTTTCCGAAAAGTTCAGTATACACTAAACAGATGAAGCTGCACATTGTTACCATCAACAACCTAGTATTTTCGTTTTGCGCACATCCTACCACAGAATTTAGCGATCTCGCCGCACTGATCAATGATCGCCGTCGTCGTGAACTAAGAAACGCAAGCGTCTGATAACAAATCAGTGTTCCGTATGCGGTTTTTCTCTATTGCCAAACAAGTTCTCAAGAGGACGCAACCTCGGACTCT